TATATATATATATATATATATATATATATATATATATGTATATATATAGAGAGAGAGAGAATTTATATATAATGGATGCTGAGAGTTATGTAAGTAATAGTTAAAAATACTTCACTCCACGATTAATCCTAAAGGTAAATGGTGAAACTATGAAAATTATCTTTTCAAAATTGTCTTACATTAAAATGCCGCTGAAATGCTTTAGGTCCTTTGTAAACTTGATTTCCACAAATTTCACATGGAAATGAAATATTCAGACCGTGCAATTTGTAAAGCCAATATGGGATCGGTTTACCATCCCATCCTAAAGGTAAATTTTTAGGATTATAAGGGATACTATCATCATCTTCATCGTCTGTCACATCATTTATGTCTTCCTCTTCCTCTACATTTTCTCCAATACCGCGTGCTTGCTTTCTTTCCACATTTTCTTTGGTAGCATCCCTTTCTTCGTTTAACATTGATGATAAACTAAAACTGACATTTAGTTTTTTCAAACCATTTGTCTCAAAAAGCTAATAGTAATTACTACTTTGGTAAGGCAATATTTTCACTTTTTTCTCACTTTACCAAATTCGTTTCACAAATCTCATCAACGGCTTATCTTCCCTAGTTTCTCACTGATTCACTTATAGAATTCTTTCAACACGTTCACTTCAAAATTAGTGGATATCTTTTTATTACTTACTTATTATGACCAACCAATAATATTAAATGCATTAAGACTAAAACTCGTCAGTACAAGTCATCTTTATTACGACCGCATCTTGTCTAGAGTAATCCATTTGTTTTACAAAGTATTTCATTTCTAATTGACTTATTCCTTCCGATTTCACCATCTTAGAACTGAAATCAGCAAACATCCCCTTTTTTAATCTGATGACAAAACGAGTTATAGAGCATCGGTACGAAAAAATAATAATCTAACTGCTGAATATATGCTTCCAGTCGTGCTATTTCACGTAGTCTAAACTGTTCTTTTTGATTTAAGTCATGACGCTTCGCAAGCGCTGCTTTCTCCATCTCACTCAGTTTATGTCCTTTGGTTGCAAAAAGTCGTTCCGCTCTTTCTTTCAAAGTGCTGAAAATGATATCACTTTAGATTAAAACAGCTCGTTAGATCAAAGTATCCCAAATAGCTCTTAAATGTAAAAATTTGATTGCTCCATTGTAGTAATTACTGATATCCCGCAATATTTTTAGGTAATTAAATCACCTGAAGGAATTTGAGGTATAACTAATTTCAGGCTTGACCAACTTAAAATAAAGAAATCAGACAACAAATTATTTGGTAATCAACTTAAATTATACAAACCCTCCACATTTCAAATCAAGGGCAATAAGCGCAGATTTTAAGCGATCTAGTCCAAGTGTTTCTAGATCGGCCGCTGTTTCAAAAGAAGAGAGATCTAAATGTGCAGCAGAATCAACCAATACAGTATGCTGATCCTTATTCCAACCCGGCACCGTACCTTAACAAACAACTATTTTATAACACTTTTACGTTACTCATGATTTTTAAAAATAAATGTTACTGATATTTTAAATAAATGCATACCAATAAGGCATGTTTTCTCTGATGCTCATAGATCCTCATCAGGATTCCTTCTATGAGCATCAGAGTATTTGACTGTTTCATGGGTATGAATTTCTAAATTTCACCAAATCACTGACCTTCTTCCCACTTTTTATCAAATTCAAAACCAACGTTCTCAAATTCTTCATCTACATCCAAAAGAGGTCTTGTCCGCGCGAGAAAAGAAATCAAATACTCTTTTAACGCATTCAAATAACCACGATAGTTACTGCTTTTTTTAGAACTTATTGCAAAGTCAGTAAAGTGATCAAAATCACTTAAGAAAGCTAAATAATCTATTCGCTGAAAAAAAAAACCCAATGAAAAGAACAAGCAAAGTCATTTTTTCTAGTGTTGAGATACCACAAAACTTAAAATACAATAGGACTTTTACTTAAAAATTATAAAAACTATATCAAATTTGTCTTTAGGCTCTATCCTCAATATGAAATTAAATATTTGAAAGATATACTTTGACCAGTTAATCTGTACGTATTTGGATGCGATTGATGCATCATGTATGAGTGAAAAAAAAATGAAAATTCCATTTTAATGACTGACCAAGCAATAATAAAAAGAACCTTTACTCCCTTGATATTGATATATTTATCATACAGAACATGCATGTCTAAAAACCGTCCATAGCCTTCTTCATCAGTGAACTCAATTAAATCCTTTTCAGCTAACTCGATGTTTTCTATAGCTTCATTCATTTTTTGATATTCTAAGCTTAACGGAATCGCAATCTATAAACAACTATCTAAGCATCAGGACTGTAAAATCATATAAAACACTTGAACAAATATAATAAAAATGAAACACACTAACAATAACTGTTGAGAGATTTGTCTTATCAAAATAAAAGAACGCGAATTACATGCCGTTGATATGAAAGTGGGAAGTTAAAATTAGGACTAACAGAGCTGAAGCAATCAAAAAAGTCTGATTGTATCTAAAACGTTCATAAATGAAAACACAGTTAAAAGGTCACTGTGATGAAAAAAATTTAAGTATTCTGAAATGCAATGAACTATGATTAAAAAAAATTCAAAGCATGAAACAGAAAGCAAAAGAAATTTAAACTATGCAATTGTAATTAGTCCACAAACCTCATCAGGATTTCTTCTATGAGCATCTTTCAGAGATTTAAGACGTGAGTAAAATTCTGCAAATTCATTGGGACTAGCAATAGCACGTAATTCCAACTTACGTGATTTATCTTCATCTTCATATAGCAAACGTAGTTTTTTCGTAACTTCATGATATCGCTGAAAAACGCAAAAAATCAAATTGCTTTCGGAGAAATTTGCCTTTGCAAAACTTCATTCAAAGAATTTTCATTTTAGCTGAGAACATTCATTAAAAAATTTAATTGATGAATTTTTTTGCGCTTTGAAATTGAACGTTAATTCAAATCAGCAGAACTGCTACCTGCAATGCACAAGCACTTTTTTTTAACACGAAATTTTAATAGCAGTTAAAAAATTTTTTAATAGGTTGGACAAATATTGAAATATTTTTAATTCCATTTAAACTTTTAAATCAAGAAAATTTTATATTTGCACAGTTATGTCAAATTATTTTTAAACTGATGAGATTCTAAAACGCATGGACAAATAAAAATTGCGTAATTCATTTTACTTATGAATCGTTTAAATGAACTCACATCGACAAGACGCCGCAAACGGTGATCTCCATTAATTTTTTCTTTATGCTGAAAGCAAAAAGCATTAAATGTACTGCAAGAAAACTTATAATTTCCTCCTGACATTATTTAAAAATATAGTGTTGTATGTGAAAGGTAACCAAGTTTAAAAAAATTTATGAGAACTTCATTATTTTTGTTAACTTCGTTATTATAATTATCCTAGCCCATTTACAACCTGATTTCAAGAATCGCATTGGAATAATGAAGAGGAAAGGACTAACGGATTTTCGCTCATGAAGAAATTCTTTGGTCATTGTATCAATAAGCCGATCACGTTCTTCATGCAAACGTCGTTGAACTTCCAATACGTTGTCCATTGCTATTAGAAATATGAAACAGATAACTAAATTATCGAGAGATACAAATATATTTCGATTGTACTGAAAAATTGAACAGAACTTTCAACACTCCTCACAAGAAAAATTTGCACAAAATTCAGTAACTGGTTCACTGATAGGTAATTTGAAAACGTATGGTCAGATTACCGCTAAACACTGGTTTCAAATATTCAAACAAGCCTGAGCAGTGCATTTCTGAATAGGATTTCTGCTGCTACCTGTGATTTCTAATCTACATTTTTTGCAGTTTTTAGTATGAAGTAACACTGGCCTTGCACGTGCTTTTAATTTGTTGCAAATATAAATTTTATCCATTATCAATATACATAACAGGATAATAAAATTGTCACCGAACAAATACAACACTGTTACCACATTCTTTTTAATAATGACACAAAAGTAATATCCCCTATAAAAACTGAACTAAACAGTGACACTCCCAAACCAAGAAAAGTGGCTGAAGAAGTACCTTGTACACATTCCGAGAGCTCAAACAGAAATGACTTCAACGTGCTGCTAAATTCTAAGTATAACCGCGAAATACCGTCCTGATTTGTTATTGCAGAGTAATCGCTGTGACTTAGTTATAGTCAATCGGTTACTTTCAAGGGCGGGACGAGGAGATATAGGCGTGTAGCTTCCTGTTAGTAGTCGGAAATAGGTTTTGGTTCATTTACTGATTGCTCGTCGAGTAATTTATGCGAAGTTTTGGTATCTAAGTTATAATGAGCCTGATGGAAAGGTAAACAAGTATTGCTAAGAATTAAACAGTTTCTTCAGTGCTCTTCATTACTATGAATTATTGCAGAAAATGGACGTATGTGAGGGAAATGCGACAAAATATGAACTCAGTAGGAAAATCGCTGCACATAACTCTGATGTAAAGTGTATTACTGTTAGTGATAGCGGTCAGATCATTTCTGGAGGTCGCGATGAGGTTGTAAAAATGCATCATGAAAGGTTTTCCGTTTTTTTCGAGTCTGTCACTGACTTAGAAATATTTTATTCGAGAGAGCAGTAATCACTTATTAAATGAGTGCTGAATGTCGAAAGAACTAATGTGGTCTCTAATCGGTTAGAAAGTAATTTAACTGTGTAATGAATTTATTTTATTGGTATGTTATATATATATATATACGTC